ATTATGCTTTCATTATTTCTTTGCTATAGCTTATGTGTTCATTATGTTTGAAAAATGCTTGAATAATCTTTGTTATGACATAATGATAATTAAACCTTATTGCTTATTAGTATTCATGCTTTATTAAATTCATATGAGTTTTTTGTTCTTATATGGATATGATAGTTTATAAAAGATTACTATTATTATTTATACATGTATTGAATAAATCTTTCATATGTTTAAAATATATGTGCACTATAAAAGTTGTTGAATAAAATTGGTGACAATTGGTATCAAAATTGCTAAAGATTTTTTTAACTTTCATAGATGCTTATTTATGCATCTATCCTTAATATAGCTTATACTTTTCATACAAAATTGTGTGGGGCTTATATTGATTAATCCTTATTTTGAAAATGAGGAGAAATCTTATAATACAAATTTGCTTGATTTGTTTTGTGATAACAATTGATATGCTTCTTGAAAACATATATGTAACAATTGGTATCCATAACAATTGGTATGAGCTTATATACATGTGCTTGAATGTATGTTTAATTGCTATTGATGTTTTAGGTTCTAAACACATCTTATCATAACATGATTTATGAGTAGATTACATATCATTCATTATTCTTTGCTCATAAATTTCATGTAGTAAATTTGATTACGTGTGCTAAAATGCTAAAATTGGATACCCTTATGTTTTTGTGCTTGAATGCATGTATGTGAACTCCGTTATACATATTATACTTGATTATATGCATTCAAATTACTATTGATATTATTGGTTTCAAGTATTTTGTCCATGCCTTGAATTGATCTCTCTTTCTTTTGAAATGACAAAAAAGAGAAAGAATTTAGAGATATTTATTCTTGTATGCTTATAGCAATTGATATAGGAACTTAAACATTTGGTACAAAGAGCATAAACAAAAAAGAGAAAAAATGTTTGATGAATGTATTTGTTAATGATGCCTCTTTGTGTTTATTTGCTCATTAATTTGCTCATGCTTTTTTGCTATGACAAAAAGGGAGAAAAATATCATATAGATAAATTTGCTTGTGTTTGATATACATATGTTTATGTGTGCTTAATTGTTATATATGCTCTAACATGTGTTAGTTGAGTTGTGTTGGATTATGATATATAAATTAAGGGAGAGTTTTGCCATGCATTGTTTAAGGAGGAGTTTTTCAAAATATTTTTCAAAATCTTAAATGTTTCAAAGAGTTTTTCATCAAGCAAATTTATCTTTAAGTTTTGTCATATCAAAGAGGAAGAGATTGTTAGCCTTGATTTGATCTTTATTTTGAAATGACAAAACATTAAGCTAAATACACTTGATCATGATTTTGAAAAAGATTTATTTAATACATGTTCTTAAGTTTTATATTTTGGTATTAAATAAATAATATGATTTCAAAGTTTAAACAAACTTTTCTTATTTTCATACTTTTTAAATCAAATTTATCTTTAAAGATTATTTATTTGAGCTTAAATGAAAGTTCAATTGATGTTTTAAAGTGAATTTATTCATTTTGGACTCAATACAATTTTGATAATATTGGTTTTGAGAAATAGATTAACTTAAGAAAGTTATTTTACAAGAACAAAGTTTTCCAACATTAAACTTGTTCTATAATTTGTATTAATTCACGAAGCTTTAATATTTAAATTTATATGGTTGGAAAGCTCTTTTAAGTCTACTTTCTAATGGATTAAACAAAATCAAAATTCAAATTTTTTAAGAAAAGATTTTAAATTTTTACTAGACACTTTGCAGTTGTCTAAAAATTGTACAAATGGTAGATTCCAAAATTCACTATAATTAGTATATAAAAATTATGTGATGAATTTTATATGGATAGAAAGCCATTTAAGTTTAGTTTCTAAATCTTCAAACAGTTTGTGACTTGGATTTGTATAACTCAAGATATAATTAAATTAGTGAATAGAGTGTAAAACATAAGATATTCAGCCAAATGGACAGGATTGATCCCCTTAAGGAAGATATCGATTGATTTTTTACCCAAAAGCAAATTTTGTTTTGAAATAGTAAGAAGAGATCGATCACCTCCTTGAGCCAATTGATCTTTTCAAGGAAGAGATTGATTGGGTAGGCTTTTTGAAGCCATGAATTGGTTCCAAAACATGAGACAATCGATCCCCTCATGGAAGGGATCAATCAGGTCTGGGCAAAATCATTCCAACAGTTACTTTTTCATGCTTACAACAGGCATTTTCTTCTCCTAAGCTTTCTCAATGGCTAGTTATTCAATTTCTCTATATATTGGCCACTCCAAAACATCAAGAAGATTGATAAAGTAAAAGAGTAAGAGCCAACAAGTTATATTTTCATTTTCTCATAGAATCAAGAGTTGTTAAAGCTTAAAATCTGTATCTTTTGTATTTGTCGTATCCAAGATATAATTTTTGTCCATTCATCATTTTCTTGTACTTAAACTTAGGCAAACACTTAGCCTTTGAGAAATGTTTTAAGTTTATATTTTTATTATTTTGTAATCAAAAGGTGAGGCATCCTCTTGAATTTATGAGATTGTGAGGTTGCTACTTAGTCTAGAAAATAGATAGTGTAAGGTTTCTATCTTAAGCCTTAGAAAGAAAAATATAGGGTTGTATTTTTTAATTTAAGATTAATGGATTGAAGCCTTGGTGTGAAAAACCAAGAGAGAGATTGTAGGTGCTTTGTGGAGAAGGACCGAACCTCTATAAATTTTGTGTTTAATTTCTTTATCACTATCTCTTTATTTTTATTATAGTTTATATTTTCTTATAGTTCATCAATTTTTTGTTATTTGTATCATATTTTGATATTGATTTTAATTTCCATTTAATTATATTGAAATAATTTTTTAGGAAAAAATTTGAATAAACCTAATTTACCCCCTCTTAGATCACCATCTCCCCTAAAAGTTAATAATAAAAGTAGGAATGAGAGAAAATGAGTAGAATGGACTTGATTTCATGGTGCATGGACCTTCCATTTATGGGTAAGCTATAGGGGACCATCAAGGGACAATAAGGACAATACCAAGTTGATGTGAGACTATTATCTGTTAAAAGCTTCATAAAGAGAAAATGATTACTATACATTTTTTACCATCAAATGCCTCTAACATAAGGATTATAGAAAAAGAAATAAGGCCTTGTTCAGTTCCTTTTACAACCGAGGTAATAGAAAAAGAAGTTTTAGGATTACCTTGGGAAGTACTACCAAAGTCAATATTACCCATTTTAGCTCTCATACTATCATTTAATTCCCTAATAGTCTTACCAATCATACTATTTAGCTAAAAGGTTATCTTGAAATAGTCTCGAACATTAATCATGGAAGAGATAATGTCATTCTTAGAAATGTCTACCCTAATTGATTAGCTCATACCATAAGTCCTCCGATCTCCCAAAGGTCAATAGAAGAAAGGGTAAGTAAGAAAAAAATAGAACTACTTGACGAGTTAGACATTTTAAAAATTATGAGAAAAATTAGAATGTATCGAAGAGATCAACGAAAAGAAAATTAAGAATATTTTTTAAGAAGAGCTCAGAGAGGAAAAAAAAAAACAAAAGACGCTAGAAAACCTTTGAAACTAAAAATTACAAAATATGGGGAAGGAGAAGCGACCAAGCATTTATAGACAAAGGTAGGGATCAATGAACAACCAAGATAAAGCCATGTTATCATTGGAAGAATAAAGGACAACACTTTTGTTCCCCATTTTAAATGTAAAAAAAGGAAAAATAATAAATAAATATGTATATAATATATAATAAAATAATAATAATAAAAATAATGATTTGACATCTCGTGCTCCTCTTCCCATGCGGATCAAATATTTTCACTTAAGTCTCACCCTAGACCACAGAAGATTAATCGATATCGGTAGAAAACAAATGAAAGAAAGATCACTGGTTTAGACTGTGAAAGATCGAGTCTTACAAGCTCAGGGACACCAAGCAAGACCAACCTTGGAGGAGCAAAACGAGCTTGTTGATCTTATAACGTCGATCCATATTTGAGGATCTAACATGTCAACTTAAGCAAGCAAGTAACAAATCTAGTTATAGGAAGTTGGCATTATAGATTTTCCTAGCATGACTGACCTTGAAGAATAATGAAACAGGCCTGTCGACCTAACTAGAGCGATCCAAACTTCACTACACGAACACAAGTCTCAGTACAATTTCACTTGTCCAATAGGTCAGCATAGATAAATAAGAAAAATAAACTCTCATACCACTTTGAATAGATCAATTTGATACATCAAGTTGATTAATGGAGAGACAAATTAATAAACGCATTTTTAGGTGCAAAAGACAACAATCTTTCTATTATTTAAAGTAAGTCAACAAGGCTAGAAAGGCATATTGGGCATTTTAATTGGGCCAACATGGCACATTGATCTCAATAGTGCCAACAATGTGCCACTTGACAGGGGCATGCCCATGTTGATGTGTCTCTTGGATATCGAAAATAGACTCGCCACATCAGCTTGGATCCCTCACATCAAATCAATCATTAAATTATCTAATTAAATCTTTTTGACTTGATCACTCTCCTTTTACGTATATATAAATACCCATTTTTTCATTTTAAATAAAGGAACCAAATCCCAAGAACTTCTTACCTATTTTTTTTTTTTATATCCCTATTTCTCTATCAAGTATTGAGTTGAGCAAAGTGTAAATATCAAAAACACCTCCAACTTTTGTTTAGACTTGAATGTCAAAATATATATATCGAAATCACTTTTGACTTTTACTTTCTACCGATCTTCGATTTTATGATTTCAAATTTTCACCCTTTGAATTGAGCTCAACATAAACATAGACTTAAATATAAAATTTTGATTTTAATGGGTCTCTTACAATTTTAAATTGTGGTTATCTAATTATACTATATACTCTTATGGTCTGGACTGGTAATGCTCAAAATCTTTAATCAGAGCCCACAACAGAAAAAAGAGGGATGTTGAACCATTGAATAAGTTCTTAGTTATCAAACAAAGCATTTTATTCTCTTCATGCATGGCGGATTTCACTCTACGGTCCATGCTTCGACTGAAGCAACTATAATTTTACAGCCAAAAATCTGCCTGTTTCTGTGAAGCGCATCTATATATCTACAGTTTAATATGATACAAATGGTGCGTTTTCTGACATCCAACAAGAACAAGGATTTTTATAGACAAGCAGCTGTATCTACACTGACTGATACTTCCAGCTTGTTGAATTCTGTAACTGCAAGCAAAATTTAATAGGGCAGCACCATCACTTGGATAGCACTACTATTTGCAACTGTAGCTGTAAAAATATTACTGTCCATTGCTATATCTCCGAGCCCGAAATTTTTCTTTAACTTTTCTTTTAATAGAGAACCATTTCAGCACACTGAAAACCTTGGTCCATCTCCTCTGTGCTTGAACAGCAACAGTACGTTGCAAAAGGAATCCATCAAAGGCCATTTGTAGATCAGCTTGCGATTCCAAGCCAAGGCTCTGAGACTGAAGACCGCTATCAAAAAATGGAAGATGATTCTCATCACAGAAAGTCTGAGTAATATCTGTGTCACAGATCAGGGAATTGGTGGCTTGGCCAGGGTAACTCAAAGTTTGGTCATATGTAAGACCCATGTTTTCAATTCCGTGCAGGGCATAATCTTCTAAGCCGCTCAAACCACTAACCGAATAGATATCTGGAGAACAAGCATTTGGTTGAGCAAAATCAAACCCACCCATGTTTTGTGTAGCCAAAAACTTGCTGCCATTCGAAATCTGTGTCTTGTCTGAGCTTGTGTAAGGAATATTAGCTAAATTTGAAGAACCACCTATGAGAGAGGCTTCGTCATCAAAAACAATAACTTCTGCCCAGTGCTCAAATGCAGAAATTACCAAGTTTTGAGCTTCAATCTGACGGCAGAGCAAATAATCATAAGCTATTATTGACAAAAACAAAGAAATAAAGATATACAAAGAAAAAAGAAATCAGATAAGGATAGTGTGCCTTCTCAGTTTCTGACAGCCTATCAATTGTAACATACTGGCATTCTGAAATTATTCCAGTCACTTGTCCCACAATGTTGAAGACCACACCAGATTTCTGTTGCGAGCCAGGAGGGCAGTACAAGTGCCTCCTCTTATCAAGCACACATGTTTGAGCATGCTCCACAGTGACTTCCCACATCTTAGCAGACATACCTGTGCCTAGGATCTGCACACATCCCAAGAAACAAATATTGCACGCTATTATCATTTTGACATCATCTAAATCCTTACTTAAAAACAGTTAAATCTAATTAAGTTATTGATGAATGATCAACATGACACCGGGTGAGGCTTAGAAAAAGTATGGATCTCTCAGTGATGCTAGGTTACATTTAATTTTCCAATTTACATCCTTATTACTCATAAAAAATAATACCCTAGGATGCAGTTTATTAACAATTAAACATAGATGAATGCAGACACAGGGTCCTGCACGGTATAATTCACATACAAATTCATATGATCTAATCCTATAACATTTACAAGATAGTTCCTTTTTGAAAGCTATCCAAACATGCTTAAATTTAACGGCTGGCTTAAAACTAATTAAACACAAGAAAATTTTGAAGCTTTCAACAATAAAGGAGCTACCAACTTATTAGAACATTTGATAAAAGAAGTTGGTAAAGAAACTGGAAACCTTCAGAAAATTTCTAACTGGTGTTAAAAAAGAGAGACAAAGCAGTAGATTCTCACATGTCGGAGCCTTGTTGGATCTATAAAGAGCATGGTCAAGAAATCCTTTACAGTGTTGATATTTTCCCGACTCAAGCGCTTATGGAAAGCCCCATCTTTGCCAATTTTCTCCAATCTCCATACTTCATCAGAGTGAGAAGGAGGGTGGTGCTTCTTGTATACTGCAACCAGAAACAAAAAGGTGAAACAGAGTCTCTTCTATTTCCTATCTGTTTATCATAATGACTTGCTTAAACCACCATGTTATACAAATTCTAAAGAAAGTAATCAAAAAGAAAAAGAAATAAAAAGAGGCAATGTAAACTTTCCACAATTCCAAATATCAACCCCCCTTTTTTTCTTCTTGTGTTCAAAATCCTAGAGTTAATTATGCTCTTTGCAGTTTAAGACTAGATTAGAGGTGGAGAAAGTTATAAGGAAAATAATCCATTAGAATTCGTTCAACATCTCGGTAACATCATCACTTGTGGAGTGATTGCAAGAAAGTATAAGAAGTGAATTATGGCAATAACAAAATCTATATTTTAAGTTTTACCATTGTCCTAACCAACACTACTCAAAATGATAAGCATCCAATTCTTCGCCTGAAAATATTTTAGATCTTTAGGACATCTTAATCTAGGCAGAAGTGTGCTATACAATAAATAGATATCCACATCAGAAATGGATAAATAATTAAGCACTTACATTCACCACGATGATCCCTGACAATGAAGGATTCTGTCTTTGCTTCCCTTACTCTAGTTCCAAAGACATCGACAACTCTTGCACCAAGTCTGAAACGACGGCTTCTTGTCCAGCTTGAATTATCTGTAAATGAAATCTCACCCACCAAACCGATGCCCTCCGTAAGAGTTATAAATGCATCTCCCGTAAGAAGAGGTTTCTTTCCTTCTCTCTCTCTTACAATGTTATTCTTAAACTCTTCAAGTGTCCAATTATCCCCCTCATCACCGTCAAAATCTCCCTCAAGAACTACAATTTCTACTTTGGCAGAGGACTCTGGACCAGAGGTAATTATTTGACCAGTGAGAGCATCAATTATAGCCACCTTTATGGCAGAACATTCTTCTGCCTCGATTCGAGCTCCAGTGAATACAGGAAGGGAGAGATTGTTTAGGAATTGGAGTTGTAAGCTTCTTGATTGGGTAGAATTTACCTCCTTCACACCATTCCTTAGAAAAAAACAAGGAGCAGGACCACATGGATTATTATACAGTGAAGTTAACAAAGCTTTCTCACAGAAAATATTTCTAATTCATACGTTTTTTATCTTTCTTTGAATAGAATTCGTACCTTTTCATACTATTCAAATGCTTTATAAAAGCCACTTCAATTTCCTCTTTGACCTACAAAACATAGGCCAAGTATATTCATTTAATTTTGAACAAGTGTTGTGCTGAAACAAGGACTACTAAAAGATATGGAAGCTTGCCACTAATCGATATGAATATAAGTTTTTGCTCTATTTTTCTGACCAATCATAGATGCCAGACACCATAACATGGGCATTTTCAAATAAATAACAATGCACAACTCTATTTGACTGCAAGTCAACCCATTGAAACAAAAAATGATATAACATTTCATGCTCCAAAGACTTATTCATTAAAAACATGCATAGAAAAGCTGACTGAAGATGCCAAGAATTTGTTGCACCAAAAACATACAAGACACAACTATATCACAAACTTAGAGTAAAGTATCAAGGTTCAAACATTTTTAAATGGCCAATTGTACATTTACTATGAAAATTCAGTTGGCACCTTCGATTTTGCTTTATCATGCTTGCCATCTGATCTGAAAGCTCATTCAAAATAAATAAAGAAAAAGACAGCTAACTTGAGGAAATATGTTCCAAAGTTAACACCAATTTTTTTGGAACTGACTAAGGTGCACATGGTCCAACAAGTCTTAATGACTAAAATTAAGCTAACTTGACTTGAATAAATACTTCAAATGATATCTTAAAAAAGATTAGCCACCTTCAATCAATTGAAGATCACATTCTTGATTTAAGTGAGGAAATCTGAACTTCTGTTAGGATCTCAAATGAATATGAGAAAGTAATTGACGAGATGCACTGACCTTAAAGTTCTTGCAATTAGTTTTCAAAGTTGCTAAAGCCTACAAACCAAATCACGCCATAAGGATAGGAGATAAACAAGCTAACAGGGATTATCTACCGTTGTCAAAATGACTGAGAATTTGAGAATATCACTAGAACAGGTGCAACCACCATGAAGCCGCAGAAGACATTTAGTGCCACTCTATGTTACTTCGACTCTTTATATTCCCAGAAGTACCCATGTGAGTATGATATCTCACATTACTTAAAAGTGGGATGTAAAAGTGGCATATATACATGCTGGACCCAAATACCAATTAGCATAGGTTTTTGGGTTCAAAAAATGTCCAACATGTATGTATGGGCGCCTTTGTTGTACTCTTCAAGGGCTCAACATTTGGCTTATTTCCCAAGTACGGGTACGAAGTTTTGAGCTCCAAGTATAAGAAACAACTTAGAAAAAATTGAACAAGCCTATGTCCATGTTGGACACATACCATATCTGAAACTCACTCCCTAGTCCAAACAACATAGGCTACAATAATTGCTAAAAGTAAATGTCACTGGAAGTAAAGCACACAAGAAATAGCAATTTTATGATTTCAATTCTTGAGAGAGGAATCATTCCCAGGTCTTACAACCTTTGGTGTGACATTGAAGCACCATAACATGACACGATGTACTAAGAACATATAGTTCTAACTTCATTATCGAATAACATAATATGCACAAAATTTTAATGGAAAAAAAGGGTTGAATAGAAATGTAAGCTTGCTGACACTCTCTCTACTATGTTAATAAAAATCTAAACTTGTTTCTGCTGGAGAAAAAATAGAATAATGTAGGAGCACTACTGAGTAACATGATCAAAGGAAGACATACCACCCTACGAATCAATGGCTCCAAAACTGGCTCCAGCAAATGCTGGACTGATTGCAACTTCATCACCTCCTGGACCACACTAGCATAATTTACAAATAGATTAGCAACCAAAAGTAACACCATAAATGATGCATAATTTTACATGGATTATAATTACCAATAGTCACAATACATGAATAGGCATACGTGAGATTCAACTACATAGAGAATGAAATCATATTAAAGCAATATCACTCCATTTCCAACATCAGGAGCACAATAACTACTAGGACCAAGTATACCATTTCTTTTCTCCTATTTATCAACCACAAATTAAAAATCAAATATTTTCTTTTTCTTTTCTTTTTTTTGTTTTTGTTAAAAAAAAGATAGCACCAACTCAACTCTCCATGGTAATATAGCCAAATGTCCTTGTCTCCTCGGACGTATTGATAAATCATGTACATGTGACATAACAACTGTAGACTATCTCTTTCTATGGTAAAATATCATTCAGAACCAAAAAAAAAAAAAAAAAAAGAAAACCCATTGAATAAAAAGGCTCATGGAAGTCCAGAATAACAAATGGCAACAAATTAAGTCCATGAGGGCAAACCATACTGAGTTAAGTAAAAAGACATGCCTAATTCAATTCTCAAATTAGTTTCAACATTAACAGAGAATTTTAATCATATTACAGACTGCAAAGCCATATTTCAGTAACAACTTTACTAAGCAGTAAAAGACCCAGTTCAAACATCCGCTCATCCATTTACTTCAACTTAAAATTTTCAATCATATTAAAGACAAGCAAAGCACATTAACCAAGAATTTCAATTGAACCAGTTAATGAGAAATTTTATTTTTTTCTTTTCTCATTATGGTCAAGCAACCACATTCTATAATTAATTTTAGCAGACCAGTGAACACAATTTGGGAATTGTAGAAGCGTCACAGAGGAAGAGCAGAAAGCATTGGTGACTGAAGCCAAAACTAAAGGGACTTGGATCAAATTTCAATTATTGAAAGCTATTCCTGTGAAGAAGCGGAGTTAGTTAGAAGAAGAGCCAATTTGGCAGAAGATTAGGTGACTGGCAACTCAATCAAAGAGGGGGTGTGCTATAATGGTTGGAGGAGACAACCACCATCTTCCTTGGTGCTTATTTTGGATAAGCATGGTCAACATATAAGCAGCAATCAATAACAAAACAAACATGAAAATTTTCAGCTAAGGAAGGAAAGGTGTGTACTTTCTCAAGGCTGGAACCCTTCTCCGTTTATCCTGATCAGGACTATTCCCTTCTGATGGTCGAGCCTTACCATCTTCCTGGGGCCTTTTCTGCGACATTATTACAATGAACTGATCTAACAAGAAAAACTAGCGATTTTTGTGGTGGGCAACGATGATGTTCATTAACAAAAACCAAGACAACAACAGCCAAACAACCCAACATTCGGCACTTAAATGAAAACTGAAACCAGCACAAGTATATACATATATTTATATAACTATTCATTCATCAATAAATGCTAATCAATGAGTAAAATCCAAAAACACCAAAAGGAAAAAAAAAGAAAAAAACAACCCAACACTTAAAACCCTTTTTCCCATCTCACTTTCCTACACATTGTCTGAATTTGGCTGTGTCTGGGATGCTTCTTCGCCATTAAACTCTATCATCGTCTTTCTTTTCAGCTTTTTGTTTTCTTTGATTGCGTTTGTCTTTTTTCTTATGTGTTTTTTAAAGAAAGGATTTTTGTCTGTGGGACCCGACAAAGCGCGTTTTGGACCAAGAAAAAATAAAAAAAAAAGGGATCCGCGTACGATGCGCGTAATAATACACAAATTTCTTTCCTGCTTTTTTTAAATAATTTTTTAAAATTATATCTATATAATTAATTAAATAATTAATAATTACATCATACTCATACAAAAATTGTAATTAATAAATAATTAACTAATAAATTAAAATATAAATAAACAATAAATTCACACAGAATAAAAATTGAAGCTAAAAAACTAAAATCTTAAAATTTTAAGACCTCCACCTCATTACTAAACTAATACTTTATTGACTAATTTATTCTTACTTAAGCGTGTAACTGAGCTAATCTTTTTACAAACTAATAATTGGTGTTTATTAGGAATTGTGAAGGTGATATTTTAAAAATCAATAAAATAAATTTTATCATAAACAATTAAAATTTATGTTATGTTTTTTTTTTTTTTTTTTACTTTTTTAATATTTTTTAATATTTTTTCTAATTTTTTGTTAAAATATTTTTTTATATTTAATAAACATTTTTAAAAGATTTTATTGTGAAAGATGGGCTCACTTTATACCAAGTTTTTTAAAAAATTTTTTTTATCATTTTCTGTTTTCAAGATCTTAAACTTGTTTTTATGAGATTCACTTGATATTAAGACATGTCAATATTTTTTTTATTTTTTATTTTTATATATTTAATAAATATTTTTTAGATTTTAATTTTTTTACCTCACCAATTTAATATCAAGAAATATTAGATGTCAAGTTATTTTGTTCTCTTTTTTATCATTTTTTACTTTATTTTTTATTTTTTAAATATTTTAACTTTTTTATGTAAAGCACATTTGATATTATTGATTGAAAAGAATTATTTTCTTTATTTTCATTTTTTCATATGATATTTTTAAAAAAATGTTAAGGAAAACCCGTCGTTGTTAACGTCTTGTGACAACTCGATTTCTTCCTTTTTGCTTTTTTGTCTTTTATTTTTATTTTATTATTTTTTCTTCCTTTATTTTTTTCCTTTATTTTTTCTTCCTTTATGGAAACGTCAATAAATGCGTACGCGTGACACTTAAGTTTTTTTTTTTTCCTTTTCAATATATTTTTTGTTTTTTATTTTATAATCATATAATTTACAACAAAAAATCGGTAAATAATTTTCTTTTAAAATATCAATAAATGTATGGATAACAAAACAATAAATATCCGACGAATTTTAATTTATCAAAATCCGATAAATATATTTTTATTTGAAATCGAATCTAAATTTACTCTTAATACGAGTTTATGAGGTTCTATCTTATTTTGACTATATATTAAATTATATTTTTAATTATTTATTTAATTGTATATTTATATATTAAATTAATAAAAATATTATTTAATATCTTAATTTAACAAAAATAGTATATTTATACATAGTTAAGATGTAATCCATCAATTCATCCATCAATTGTATAAATTTTACCTTTTTGACATGCTATCTTATTTTTTATCTTATTTTTTTCTTTTTCAACCTTTTTAAAATTTTATAATTTAGATAAGTTTGTGAAAAAAAAAAAAAACTTATGTATGAGTTCATGTGACACCTCAATTTCCTTTTTTACTTTCATTTTTTATATTTTTAATTAAAAAAATTGCACCAAAAGAGCTTATGAATAAAAATTGCAAAATAATTCATATTTAATGAGTTCCTTCTCAATTATGATGTCCACATAATACATAATTGAGCTTTTTTTTCCTTTTTTTTTTATTAAAGTAGTTTTGTAAAACAACCCAATAAAGGTATCAACATGACAATCCATTTGGCTTTTTATCCCATTATCTTTTTTTTAATTAAATAAAATTTTAAAGAAAAGTATTTATTGATAAAGATGCAAAATAATCTATATCTGATGAGTTTTGATTCATCTCAATTTGATAAGGGATAATTTTCTAAAATTAGGATTGACATGAAACAAGTCAAATTTTTTTAAAGAGAAACAATCTCAAGATCAAAATGTACTTAAGATACTTTGTTCGATCAATTTTAGGGTATATATAAAAGTATATATTTTATTATTTATTTAATTTTATGCATATAAATGTATTATATTAATAAAGTTATTTTTTGTCTTAATTTAAAAAATTAATATTTTAAACTCAATAAAAGGTGTCAACATGACCTTTTTGTAAGCACCTTTTTTTTTTCATTTTTTCATTTTTTTCTTTTTCATTTTTCCTTTTTCATTTTTCTATTTTTTCGTTTTTCAACCTTTTGGCCTTTTATATAATTTTTTTGTTGGATAAATTTTATTAAAAAAAAAAAAGGCCAATTAAGGTATCCATATATCATTTCATTTTTTTGATCTTTTTTTTGTTTTTTTAATTAGATAAAATTTGAAGAAAAAATAATAAATAGAGATGGTAAAATAAAAAATTTTTTGATTACCGACAATGCAAAAATATTTTTCTAGTATAAATCTTTCGTTTATAAAATTTAGATTCAATTTTTGTTACTAATAATTTCTCTTAGTGGATGATTTCTAAATTTAATAGAAGTTTTTCATTAAGGTCTTGTTTGGCTCGACTGAAACTTTTATAAGAAGTGCGGTTGGAGTAAAACTATTTTAAAAGTGCTGTAAAAAAAAAAGCTAAATAACATTTGACAAACTTAATACTAAAGTATTGTAAAATATTGAGAAAAAAAATTATTTGATAGTATTTTTATAGATTTTTAATAAATAAAAACTAAATAGTTAATTTTATTAAATTAAATCACAAGCTTTTAAGTGAAAAATAAATAAATAAATAAATAAGAGATACTTTTATTAATTATAATAAAAACCAAATAAATTCAATAGAAAAATGAACAAAATAAAAATGTGAAATAATATAATTTTCTTTATAATTTTGTAAAATATTGAAGAGTAAAGTGAGAATGTAAAAAAATTTCATTAAAGACTTCTTATTGAAATTAGCACTTCTTACATAAATTTTATTTTGTAACTTTGTCTAAAAACTCAAATTTGGTTCTCACATAAATTAAAATTCTTAAAATTTGAAAAGCCAAATGCCTAACTTCAACTTTTTTAGTAACTACACTTTTTTGTAAACTAAGCCAAACACCTTCTAAAACTTATAATATGTCTTGATCTCTAAATTATAGGTGGTAAACGGATTGGTTAAGATGGTTTGGATTGAGCTATCTTTGGATTCGGATTTTTCGAGTTAAGATTCATTTCAAGTTTGGATTGCCTCGGGGTTCATATATTTTTACATTCAAAATTTTTTAGATTTAAATAATTTCGAGTTCGAACCAGAATATAGACTACTTTGAATTCAGTTCAATTCAAACTGGGTGAACTTACTGTTTAGATGAGTTTGAAAAAAATTTTAAATTTTATAAGGGAAAATTTTTTTTTTGTAATTTTGAATTAAGAATTAATTTTATTTTTTATTTATTAAATAAAAATATTAAAAAATTTTAATGTTGAAAATGTTAAAATAATATACTTATATAAATATATATTATATATTAATTTTGTCTTTAAATATTATCCATTATCTTTTAGTTCATAGTACAAATTCAAATAAAAACTAAAATATTCACATTTTATACAATTGAATAATAGACATTATTAAAAAAAAAGTATTATTTTGACATTAACATTTACATAAATATAATAATATTTGATATATATCAATTGATCAAATGTTCAATTAAAATATTGAATAGTCGATATTATTAAATTAATTAATATAGTGTTAATAATCTAAAGTCAACAAATGTCATCACTTAAATATAATTAACATTAATATCAACAAAGTATAAAAATTAATTGTATTAAAATTAATATTAGTAGAATATACTTTTTAAGTTATATTTTAATTTATTATCAATAATAATTAATTCTATTCTCACTTTAATTTTAATAGTTATTAATAAATTAATTAAATTAAATTTTTTATCTAATATTAAAATAAAAATATAAAAATTGTGAACAAATTAACTAAAAGAACTGCAGCATATGAAAAAATCATTATATATTATTTTTGTTTTATAATGATAATTATTATAAATATAATGAAATGATAGTATTAAAAATTATTAGATATTAATATTTAGTATGTTTCAAATTGAATTTATTTTATAGTTGAAATTAAAATTTTAATATTAATGTTGTTGATTATAATTGATATAATTATTTAATAATTATCAGTAATAATATTTTTAAAATTTAGAATTTAAAATTTTAATTAAAAAATATTTATTTTTTATTTATTTAAAAAATCATATAATCATAGTTTTAGTTTTCTCGGGTCATAATTCAATTTTTCATAGGCTTTATGTCAAATCATCTCGAATTTGGATTATTGTGAATTCAATTATGACAAATTTAAATTGTATCGATTTTGAGTTTTTTCATATTTAAAATTTTTTGAATCTAGATTTTTTTAAATTGAATTTTTTTATATTTTAATCTTTGACTTTTTTAATAAATTTGAGTTGATTCGGGTATGGTCACGGATCGATTCATGCGGGATCTTCAAGGTCATATCAAATTTGTCACTTTTATTCTAAATAAAGTTGTTTACATTATCTAATTTTTATTGTAAAAAATATATACATATAATAAATGTATTGTTTTTAATAAATTTAATGAAAATATTGCATAAATATAAAAATATTTTTAAATAATTAATATTTGTAGGTACTTATTAGTCGAATTGTTTGCAAATGGTGATTTTATTATAGATTAAGGGCCTCATTTATTTTTTGGGGTCCACTTTGAGCTGGAAGTTTTGGTATTCGGTTACATTTGACTCTTCCGGTAGTTAGTACCCAACTTTTTCATCTCATATTCATAGTATCAATAAATTATGAGGATTAGTTAGAAGCACAGTGATTTTTAGTTTGTCTTATATGCATTTGTATGACACATCCAAATATTTTATGTGTCGTGATTTTTGCTATTTGGGTTAGGG